GAGGAGCTGATTGCTATGCTCCGGAAGAACCAGAAAGCAATCGGGTGGAGCTTAGGAGACATCAAGGGGATTAGTCCCGCTACATGCATGCACCGGATTATCTTGGAGGAGGGATCCAAGCCTTTTCGAGATAACCAACGTCGGCTAAACTCGAATATGATGGAGGTAGTCAAGAAAGAGGTGTTGAAGCTTTTCTCTGGAGAGTTGATCTATCCGGTGGTGAGTAGTGAGTGGGTTAGCCCTATTCATGTGGTGCCGAAGAAGGGAGTCATAACCGTGATCGAGAATGACAAGAAGGAGTTGGTTCCCACCCGTATCACTACCGGGTGGCGCATGTGCATTGACTATAGGCGACTGAACGCTGTGACAAAGAATGACCATTTCCCGTTGCCATTTATTGACCAGATCCTTGACCGTCTTTCGGGCCATCAGTTCTACTGTTTCTTAGATGGACTCTCGGGCTACTACCAAGTGGCCATAGCACCTGAAGATCAGCCCAAGACGATGTTCACGTGCCCCTTTGGCACCTTCGCATTCAGACGGATGCCCTTTGGCCTATGCAATGCACCAGATACGTTTCAGAGGTGCATGTTCTATATCTTCTCAGATATTCTTGAGGACTATTTGCAGGTATTCATGGACGACTTCTCTATATTTGGTGATTCATTTTCTCATTGTCTCCATAATTTATCTCGTGTCCTTGAACGTTGCATTGAGTCCAATTTGACTTTGAGCTGGGAAAAGAGTCATTTTATGGTTAGAAGTGGAGTTGTCTTAGGTCATATTGTTTCTTGTAGAGGGATTGAGGTCGATAAGGCCAAAGTGGATGTTATTGAAAAACTTCCCCCTCCCGTGAATGTTAAGGGGATTAGGAGTTTCTTAGGGCATGCAGGGTTTTATAGGCGTTCCATTAAAGACTTTTCGAAAATTAGTCAACCATTATGTCACTTGCTTGCTCAGGATGTGCCATTTATTTTTGATGATGCTTGTTTGAGTGCTTTTAATGAACTAAAGAGCAAGCTTGTGAGTGCCTCTATTGTTATTGCCTCTGATTGGTCACTTCCTTTTGAAATTATGTGTGATGCAACTAACCTTGCAGTGGGCGCCGTTTTGGGTCAACGAGTTGATAAGTTGCTTAGCGTGATTTATTATGCTAGTTTGACTCTTAATGGGGCCCAACAGAATTATACTACCACCGAGAAGGAACTTCTAACCGTGGTCTTTTCGCTAGAAAAATTTAGATCTTATATTTTGGGGTCTAAGGTCATTATACACTCAGACCATGTGGCTTTGAAGTACCTTTTGAGCAAAACTCATTCTAAACCAAGGCTCATCCGGTGGATCTTGTTACTGCAAGAGTTCAATGTTGACATTAGAGATAGGAAAGGTTCTGACAATGTAGTTGCTGATCACTTGTCACGCATAGTCCCATCTGACTCATCATCTTCATTGATTGTGCATCATTCTATTAATGATGATTTTCCTTATGAGCATGCGCATGAAGTGTCTAAGAGTGCTTGGTACGCTGACATTGTGAATTACCTATGTTGTGGAAAACTGCGGCCTGACATCTCTTCCCAAGAGAGAAAGCATTTTGTTTCTGTGTGTAGGGATTACTTTTGGGTGAGCCTTTTCTTTTCAAGATGGGGAAGGACGAGGTGCTGAGGAGATGCGTACCGGAAGAGGAGCAAGTCGATGTCCTCACACTCTGCCACGAGTTTCATTGTGGTGGCCACTTTGGCGGCCAGAAGACCGCTTTTAAGGTTTTACAGTCAGGTTTGTTTTGGCCTACCCTTTCCAAAGATGCTCATACTTTCTGCCGTTCTTGTGATAGATGCCAAAGAACTGGGAATATAGGTCGTAGAAATGAGATGCCCTTGACTAATAACCTTCAAGTAGAAATTTTTGACATTTGGGGGATTGATTTTATGAGACCATTTCCAAAGTCTAGTGGCTATGAGTATATTTTACTTGCTGTAGATTACGTGTCTAAGTGGGTTGAGGCTGTCCCCACAAAGACATGTGATGCTAATGTTGTGATCAAGTTTGTGCAAGGTCATATATTGAGCAGGTTCAGGTTCCCAAGAGCAATAGTGAGTGATGGGGGAAAGTACTTCTGCAACAAGCTCTTTGAGAAACTGATGAAGAAGTACTGCATTTCTCACAAAGTAGCTACCCCCTACCATCCACAAACTTCGGGTCAAGCAGATCAAGACTATCTTAGAGAAGACGGTCAATTTTTCAAGGAAGGATTGGTCGAGCCGGCTCGACGACCCTTTGTGGGCCCAACGAACAACATACAAAGGCGTCTTGGGAATGAGCCCTTTCAGACTCGTCTATGGGAAGTCTTGCCACTTACCAGTGGAGATTGAGCACAAGGCCTTGTGGGCCATTAAGAAGACGAACCTTGATCTAGATGCGGCCGGAAAAGCTAGACTGTTGCAACTTTCGGAGTTAGAAGAAAGGAGGAACGAGGCATATGAGAGCCAAAATTTATAATATATACTATCGTATACTATATACTATAGTTTATGTTATGCTGTATATTACAAACTATATACTATATACTATAGTATACTATATACTATGTTATATGTTATATTGTATATTGCAAACTATGTAATATATACTATCATATACTATATACTATAGTTTATGTTATGTTGTATATTACAAACTATATACTATATACTACAGTATACTATATATCATATGTTATATGTTATATGTTATAATCTCATGTCTAGCTATCTATAGTATAACCTTTCTCATAGTGGCATAGCGGCTTTGTATATAACATATGTTATATGTTATATGTTATATGTTATATACTATATACTATATGTTATATACTATATACTATATGTTATATGTTATATACAATATACTATATGTTATATGTTATATGTTATATACTATATGTTATATGTTATATACTATATGGTATATGTTATATGTTATATGTTATATACTATATGCTATATGCTATATACTATATACTATATGTTATATGTTATATGTTATATGTTATATACTATATGCTATATGTTATATACTATATACTATATGTTATATGTTATATGTTATATACTATATACTATATGTTATATGCTATATACAATATACTATATGTTAATATGTTATATGTTATATGTTATATACAATATACTATATGTTATATGTTATATGTTATATGTTATATGTTATATACTAGATACTATATGTTATATGTTATATACTATATACGTTACATGTTATATGTTATATACTATATACTATATGTTATATGTTATATACTATATATACTATATGTTATATGTTATATACTATATATTATATGTTATATACTATATACTATATGTTATATGTTATCTGTTATCTGTTATATACTATATATATACTATATGTTATATATTATATGTTATATGTTATATGTTATATGTTATATCTCATTCTTATTTCTTTCGCGAACAGTCATTCTCACCGGAACTCAACTCTCTCTCTCTCTATATATATATATATATATTAATATTTAAATATTATATATTGACTTATAAATTAAATAATTATAATTAGTTTATCATACGTATACATCAATATCATAATCAAATTTTCTTGCATACATTCCATTTTATCTTAACTTACATATAATCACATTCCTAACAAACATTAAATTTGCTTATATATTTTTAAAGTAGTTACATCGATAAATAATATTAATATACATTAAATTTTTATCGTTACATAAAAAAATTATATTACTTGTATAAGTGTTATAAATAATAATGATATTATATGACAATAATTTTTGAATAAAATAATATTTGAGTGTTATGATGAACCAAAATATGTAAAATTATTATTTTTCTGTATTAAAAGATAAATAAATATAATAAAATATTATTTATATTAATATAAACAGGGCAGCGGGCTAATTTATTCTTAAAATAAAGTGTTTTTAAAAAAAATTCTAAGGTACGAAACCCCCGTGCATTGCACGATATTCTCACTAGTTGTACCATACAACAAGTTTACATTTTTGTTGATAATGGTGACCTAACCAATTTGGAAAAAGCCCACATTGATTAGGCAACCAGATAGTACCATACCTATTGCGAACATCCATAACTAACTGGGCTCGGAAAATCAAGTGCACTGCCAAATAACGCATAATCTCGGTTGAAACATAGACAGAAAATATGCATTCTAAAGAAACTCAAAATTTGTATCTAAAGAAGAAACCATAAAACCAAGAAATTTTGGATCCGTTTCCAAAATGAAGACCCGACATGCCCCCTTTGTGGTACCGCGAATGAATCCTCGAGCCACCTCTTCTTCGAGTGCCCCTTTAGCTCGGAGATATGGAGTGCAATTCGAGTTTGGGTTAGCCTCCGCCACATGCCAACAACTCTTAAAGGCGCCCTCAAATGGACCAAAATAGAAGGGAAAGGTACAACTTGGAGAGCCAAATTGAAGAAAGCGGCGCTTGCGGCCACCGTCTACTTCATTTGGAATGCGCGAAACAGATTGATTTTTGAGGGCGAAACCCAACCTCCAAGACTTGTGATTAGAAAGGTAAAGACCCACGTCTACCGATCTATTTTTGCTCTTTTTCCGAGTGTTCTTGCCGAATTTGAGAGAAGAAGCCTAGGTGTTGAAGTATAAAATCTTAATAATTTTTTAGGATGGTTGATGCCAAGTGCTTGAGCACTTGGAAGATCTTGATTGGAGGAGAACATTGTCCTCGTTATTTTTGTTCTTGCGAGTGAGGAACCGACATGTGGTTACCCACTACGCTCTTGAAAGCCGCCTCGGTTGTATGACTTTCAATTTTGATCAATACAAATTTATTTAACGATCAAAAAAAAAAACTATGCTCATTTATCCTATANGTTTTTTTTTTTTTTCTTTTTTCACAAGAGTTAATAAATAGTAGTATGTGAAAAATGTGTGAAGATTTTTTTTGAAGTGGCAAAAATTTAGGGTTTGGGGAATACCTGTTGGCACAGATTTGGCTTCTTCACGGGTTGCTCAGGCATCAGTCCGAAGTGAATGTGGGGAAAGTGGGCCCACTGTGACACAAAATTACAAATTAAAAAAAATTATATATATATATATATAAAAGTTAAAATTTGAAAAAGGTGATAAAAGATCAGCCCTAGTAAAAAAATAATCTTTGTTAAAAACCCTAGCTACTATAATTAGGTTTGAATTGCAATTATTTACTTTTTGAAATAATTAATCCTTACATTTTTAGCAGCTGCGCTGAAAGCCTCCCTATGGCTTATATCAGGATTTCCAGCTTTGATACGTTGGATCTCATCCCTGCCCAAAAAATAAATAAAAACTAATTGATTTTATTGCTGAAAAAATTATAAAATATTATGAAGTTCAGATTTTTTTGTTGAAGTAAGGAAAAAGCTCTCGACCCAATGGAAATTTCATAAACACACAGTCAAATGTGTGCATGTGCGTGTGATCTAACGGATCAAATTCGATGGATTGAATCTTCCCTAATAAGCATAGAAAACACGCACATTTATCAATAAAAACATATCTTTGTGTGTGTGTGTGCGTAGAGTATCTATCTATGTGATTTCTGTATCTATATGTGTAAGTATATAATTAACTCACTTTATGAACCGGTTGTAAGCAGACGGAACTCTCTGTCTTTTCTCCGGAGCTGAGAAAATAAACCACAAAAATACGAAAAACAAAACAATAAAAACAAAAGTGACCATTAATTTCACTTTGGCTGACTTTTTCTGGATTTGTATTGTCATCCTTTTCACCTCATCACTGCTTCATCATTATCTAATCATTTTGTTTTTCACTTTCTTTTTATTTCCTATCATGATTTCCGGGGGAAAAATATTTTATTTCTATTTCCTAATTAATTGCAAACGGGAAGAAAATAAAAACCCAACATTATATTTTTCTTTTTCCAATTCAATTTTATTCTACATACGATCGACTATTTATCACATATATGTAATTAAAAGAGTTATATTAATCTTGGACGATTATGGTAATAACGAACCGAAACTACATAAAATTATTATACAAATCTTTATTTTCGAACCGTTCGACACATTAACCAAACGAGCCCACGAGCACCTCGTTTCGTTTAACAGGTCCAATGTTGAATAAATTCCAAATTAGGGCTTTTGTTAAAATTATAAAGATAATTAATGTGAAAACAGAGCAACTAAATTGCATTTGCACAACTCCACATCTTAAACTTCAAACCTTTACACTTTAAACACTGCTATATATTTTCCTCACAAATGCAAACACATTACAAAAGTGTGCAGTGTTTTGTGTAGAATAAGGTTGGACAACTGTTGAAGAGTAAACTCAAAACCAAAACAGCAGTTTCTCATCTTAGTATAGCTAACTACTGTGCAGTCGAAAGGTCCATGTTGAGGATGTTCGAAAATATATATCCTGATTATTCACACAGTCATCACAATTAAAAAAAAAAAAAAAGAAAAAAAAAAAAAAACTCACGTCTGTTAGCCACCGGAGGCTTAGGCAGCTCGTCGAGCCCTCTAACCGCCATAAACTGCTCGTTTGGGTTCGGCTGGTTTACAAGCAAGTTAGCTGGGCCACTACGAATCTCCTCCTGAAAAATAAAAATTAATAAATAAAAGAACTTCATATTTAGCAACAAAGGCTTCTTTTTCGATAAACAAATAAATAAATAACTAAATTTTAGAAAACCAAAAAAAAAAACCCTAATTTTGAACCGAATATGAAATATATGAAACAGAAACCCTAATTCCTTATGTCTACTCAATCAATCAATGAGTAAGTTATTTACGAGAAGGTTTTGCGGCGAAAAGAAGGAGTGGCCGAGATGGAGCTGATTGGGCGAGGGGACGAGCATCGCGTGCGTGTTGACCGACAGCAAATTGGTGCAGTGTCCGCATCTGACCGTAACAGTTTTAAACAAGCTCGAGCTCGGCACACTTACCTAAAAACAAAAAATGAAAAAGGAAAAAGAGAAAGAATATCATATTTTTGTTTCCAATTTTCTTTTTTTTTTTTTG